CAGAATTAAATCGTGTGTTGTGTTGCGCTAAGGCTCGGAGACTGACGTTTGAAGTGCACTATTTCCCTTCCGTTCCATCAGAACAATCATGAACACGTTTCAAAACTTGTATCAAATCTTGACACTCACAGACATCACAACGCTCAGACTGCTTTAAAGCATGTATGCGATCCGAACATTCAGATGGTGCGGCACGTTGATGACGGTGATAATGATGACAGAAAAAACGGAACATTTACCTGGCAAAGGCAAGCGTGATAGCGGTAGCTGAACGCGTCGTAGATCACGGACAATGCTTGCAAAGGATTGTCTACATTCAATGCAGGATTTGAGCAGGCAACACGTTCCGCCTGAGTGATCAGAAATACAGATGCGGTTGTGCTGGCCGTTGTTGTTGTTGTTCCTGTTGTCGCAAGTGATATTGTTGTTGCTGCAGAACTGTTTGTAACAGTCTCCCCGGGGATTTGATCCGACCGAAACAAGGTCATCAGTTCGGTAAAAACATTTGTCCACAAAAGCTCAGCGGCCTCGTCCCACAGTTTGTCCAAACAATGGATCAATCGAGTACCCATTTTTTCGATCGAGGATAGTAATCCACCACGGTCCTGAACAGTTGTATTCGGTCTGTTTTCGGTTGCGGGATGTAAAGTGAATCCAAATAGTTCAGAACAGGGTCAAGAGAAACAGAACAAAGACAAAGGTACAGTAACTTGACAACAACCAAGTACGTCTTCTGATACGGAGTTAACGAATACAGAATCCAAACATCAAGGCGAATACAGACCATAGGGACAAATGATTTTTACCTACTCACGTAATGCTGCGATTGGACGGAGAAATCGCAAACATTCAGCTATGACATTAACCGAGAAGACGAGGCCACTGGTATCACTAGTTGCAACCGACTACTGGAAATCGAATCTGAGGATAATCCATTGTCATAAGATTCTTTTACCTATAACAAAATTAACATTTTACAAGTACACATTTTGTGTTTTATGATTTTTTGCACAACTACGATTTTTATTTGGTTTAAACAGTAAAAGGAAGGAACTTTGTAAGACGGCAGTATTGCTACTTGTATTCATGACTATTTGAAAGTTCAGTCCCGTTCAGGTTCAACGTCATTACGCAAACACAACAGCGTACTGGTTCCGGTTGCTGTATATGATCGTTCCGGTGGGAAACTTCTACGGGCTAACAGTAGTCAACGCTTGTGTTAAGTCAATTTTTGTATTCATAGAGCAAAACACTTGAGGATTTGAATTCCAATAGATGAGAATTGTGCATTGAGTTGAAGCGGCCAAGTGAAACGCTGCCTTCCATTGTCTCGTATTCATTCACCAGCACTCTCACATCACCTGTTCGTGATTTTTCTAAGACAATATTTCTACATAAGCGGTGAGAAATCAACCTACATCTTTGGAACAACTAGCTGCCTACGACTATGAGCTGAAGCATCAAGTGTTGATTATTCGTATTTGGTTTCTGTTTTCGTATATTAAATTTAATGAAACCTCAGTTAAGATTAGTTTAAGAGAATAGAATAACACAACAGAATAAAGCCAGGTGTATAACTGTCGTTCATCTGATCAAAATCTCCATGCAGATGACACCGGTAAAGTCAATGTTATAGAACACTCAATTTGATAATCCAAATTTGTACCGTCAATAAATCAAATACCAATTGTTCAAATGAGCGTAACAGGAAGGGGAATACTAGCTGGGAATATTCCAATCCAAGGCTAAATAGTGACAAAAATCACTTGAACGTCCGCGGAGAATAACAATCGAAATGGCTTAGAAAACCCAAGACCGACGTTGAAAGGCTGCGAATCAGCGGAATCTACTAATCTTAATGCCACCGAGTGCGGAGACCTGTGATCCTAGTATATCAAATACTACATCAACCTAACCACCTGTGTAGTACTCTACTAACACCATACCGGAATGGTCACCGCGGAGAGCATCTTTTTAAACTGTTACTCCAAAACAGTCGCCGAGACTGTAGGCATCATTTTTTAAGCCTCGGGGTATGAAATACGTGAAACTTGCTTCCACCTCAAGCTTTTTGGGCTTTTTCGTTAAATATAGATATAACCGCTAATTCATTCAAGTCGCGGCCCGACGAAGCACTGAAGCACTAAACTGTTCAGCATCCGTGAGTGAATATGATAGTTTGTTATTTCATTGCACTACCATTCGAACCAATGGAGTACAAGTCCTATGGGACGCAAAAAGCATTAGTTTTGCAAATTACCCATAATAAAATTTGGTTTGATTTGATTTCTATCTTGCTTTAGTCGAGGTGAATTAGAAGCGTAGGCGATTCGCATGCAACAAACAGCTACACGAAAGCTGTTATGTGACAAAACTGAAAAATAATCACCGTCAAATAAGATTTCATATTTATTTATTATTATCATCATTCTTTGTTTGGCACATCATTCATCAATATTCGTAACCTAAGACGAGATCAACTATTCTATGAAAGATCACTATCCCGACCGACGCAACCACCAAATTCACTCTACTCGACCTAGTTTACCAGACGACGCCGAGTAGGTAGCGAACAAATTAGTACCGACACGCGCTCAATTAAATACCCTAGGCACGTGCGAGGTGGAACTAACAGTCCGTATGAGACTACAACTAAAAGTAGGGTTTGTGTAACGCTTTGAAAGTGAAAAACGTCCTTGCACAACTACGCAGCGGACTCCACTGGTTCCACTATTTGTGGTTAATAAATGCAATTAATTATTGGCATTTTTGCGCCAGCTTGGTGTTGTTACGGCACTGAATGAGTTTCTGTTTGTCTGAGGGATGTGTTCCACTTTGGGGATAAACACACACAGATAACGTTGACGAAACTATTCTGTAGAGCAGTTATACTTTTTTCAGGGTTGAGAGGTAATGTGTGAATGGGCATCCCACCGGAATATACTGGCCATCCATTTATAAAAAATCTACATTGATTAATCAGCTAGGCAGTATTTGGATGATTTTGTGTGTGTGGCACTCCTGCGATATTCCAAACCAATTCTGCACTCTATATATCAATGCATATTTAGTTATATTTCTAGCAGCATATCTCGCTGAATAAACGGTAGCGGAGGATCAGCATTAGTACAGGAGAATGTAAAGAGTTTACTTCTTGGCATCGGTTCTCTGCACAAGACATTACATTTATTCTTCCAAGGCACAGGTACACACTCGAAAAAGGCCTACTCTGGAGTGGACGACCAAGTAGCACAACAGCCTACAATTTAAAAAACCACGAACAGTTTTCCTTCAACGAATCCATGCCCAAGCATTGCTCTATTACTGAAAACTGCTATACACCGTACAGGTCTTCCGACTTCCCAAACTTCCGAAATCTCACCATCACTCACCCACATTTTCACATCACCTGGAAATTTCGGACGATAATAATAACAGCAATGAAACATTTGGATCCCGTAATGAATTTGAACAGGTAAGTCAGAAGACAAACACTGCAAAAGGTATTCCCCTCGTATACTCTCTCATCGGTCGCGTACGTATAACACTGAACAAGATAGACAAATGGAGTGAATTAAGAAATCTAATTATTATTAACCGTGTGTGTGTGTGTGCGTGTGTGACTGTGTACAGTGTGTGAGTGTGTGCGATACATGGGATTGGTTACAATCGGGGAAGGCCATACGCTTTTGTACGCACAGTGTGGGTTTATTGTGAGCGATAGATAATGCTTTGAGTATCCTCGAGTATCACGTAGACCGAATTCGGCCATCGCACCTCACTTGGTGGAAAGCTGTCACAAGATAGACCTTGTGAACGCGTTTTCGGTTTCGTTACGTCATCGAGACAAACACGGAGTAACGATACTCAAGGCATTATCGATCGCTCACAATAAACCCACATTGTGCGTGCAAAAGCATACGACCTTCACACTTGGCCTGCCCTGATAGTAACCAATCGCGTGCATCACGCACACACACACTGTACACAGTCA